TGTTACTCATTCAAGTTACTTACTTTCTAATTGTCTAGGAGATATAACTGTAAAAAGCTTTACCAAGACTTGCAAAGTAATCATAAAATAACACCTGCAAATTTTTTTTCACTTAGAGATACTTTGTGTGTACAATATGCTGAGGCAGGATTAGAAACATTGAAACATCACATATCTTTACTAACATAATTTTTTTAAATGTTTTATCCTAGTAAATGTTTAATACATATTTTTATTCAATTCACATAAAACACCCATAATTTAACATACTTAAAAAAGAGTTAATCCTCATTGTCGAATCAATCAAACTTTTTATCTGAAAAAAATCTGACTTTATTTTTCAATTTAAATAAACATGTTAAGATGCGCTTCAAGGAGTGTTACAAATATATTGGGAAATCAATTCTGGAATGCAGTTTTAAAAGCTAGTTTACTAGAAGCAGTCCATTTAATTTAAAGTATAATCTAATTAATCTGCATTTTAAGTTAAAATATTTTATTTTTTTAACACTTTTTATTTATAATCATTTTACAATGTTGTGTCAAATTCTAGTGGTCAGCACAATTTTTCAGTTTTACATGGACATATACACACTCATTGTCACATTTTTTCTCTGTGAGCTACCGTAAGATTTTGTGTATATTTCCCTGTGCTATACAGTATAATCTTGTTTATCTATTCTACAGTTTTGAAATCCCACTCTATCCCTTCCCACCCTCCACCCTCCTGACAACCACAAGTCTGTATTCTGTGTCTATGAGTCTATTTCTGTCCTGTATTTATGCTTTGTTTTTGTTTGTTTGTTTTTGTTTTTTGTTTTTTAGATTCCAGATATCAGCAATCTCATGTGGTATTTTTCTTTCTCTTCCTGGCTTACTTCACTTAGAATGACATTCTCTAGGAGCATCCGTGTTGCTGCAAATGGCGTTATGCTGTCGGTTTTTATGGCTGAGTAGTATTCCATTGTGTAAATATACCACTTCTTCTTTATCCAGTCACCTGTTGATGGACATTTAGGCTGTTTCCATGTTTTGGCTATTGTAAATAGTGCTGCTTTGAACATTGGGGTGCAGGTGTCATCCTGAAGTAGGGTTCCTTCTAGATACAAGCCCAGGAGTGGAAATCCTGGGTCATACAGTAAAACTATTCCTAGTCTTTTGAGGAATCTCCACACTGTTTTCCACAGTGGCTGCACCAAACTGCATTCCCACCAGCCGTGTAGGAGGGTTCCCCTTTCTCCACAGCCTCTCCAGCATTTGTCATTTGTGGATTTTTGAATGCTGGCCATTCTGACTGGTGTGAGGTGATACCTCATTGTAGTTTTTGATTTGCATTTCTCTGATAATTAGCGATATTGAGCATTTTTTCATGTGCCTTTTGATCATTTGTGTGTCTTCCTTGGAGAATTGCTTGTTTGGGTCTTCTG